GTTTAGTAATAGAAAAAATGCAATTGAATCCATTAAATTGAAAAATAAATCAACGTTATAGTCAAATGTAAACGTGTTCTGCTATCTGACTGTAATATTTACAGCCTCTTGAAGCTCCTCCTTTTTTTCCCATCATCCTTTTCGGCCGGGAGAAGAGCAGCACAGTCAGGCTAGGCTATCTGACGTTAGCAGTAAACAGCTCTCACTCAGAATAAAATATTAAACTTTAATTTGTCTCCACGATGAAAGATGTCGGCGGGTTCCTCAAGCAGCAGCAGAGCAGCAGCTCCACGCCGGAGATGGCTGCCGAGTGGCACACGTTGGAGGAGTATTATAACAAAAGGTAAAAGAAGATAAAGCGCTAGCTCTGTTCAGCTAACGCTAGGCTAGCTAACGGAAGCTAGCTCATTCATTGGGAATGAACGCTGAGTCATGCGCGGCGCTAGCGTTAGCCTAGCTGTGGCTAATAATGTTAGCCTCAAGTTTCCTGAAGATGTGAAGGGAAAACACGCATTATGTTATATTTAATGTTTACATTTACCACATTTAGGCAAACATGTGAGGGGCTGATGCTTTAAACGTCATGTTACATTTTATGTTCACTGTTTGTTTCTGAGTTTTATGAAGTTTGGGAGAGTTTTCAGTCACGACATCAGAATGTAAACTGACCACAATAATAATAATAATAACAAAGATAGAAGTCCTACTAGACCCCCTGCGTGTCAGGTGAAGTCCTACTAGACCCCCCAGGTGAAGTGTTGTAACAGTCTGTGTGTCAGGTGAAGTGTTGTAACAGTCTGTGTATCAGGTGAAGTGCTGTAACAGTCTGTGTATCAGGTGAAGTGCTGTAACAGTCTGTGTATCAGGTGAAGTCCTACTAGACCCCCCAGGTGAAGTGTTGTAACAGTCTGTGTATCAGGTGAAGTGCTGTAACAGTCTGTGTATCAGGTGAAGTGCTGTAACAGTCTGTGTATCAGGTGAAGTCCTACTAGACCCCCCAGGTGAAGTGTTGTAACAGTCTGTGTATCAGGTGAAGTGCTGTAACAGTCTGTGTGTCAGGTGAAGTGCTGTAACAGTCTGTGTGTCAGGTGAAGTGCTGTAACAGTCTGTGTATCAGGTGAAGTGTTGTAACAGTCTGTGTATCAGGTGAAGTGCTGTAACAGTCTGTGTGTCAGGTGAAGTGCTGTAACAGTCTGTGTGTCAGGTGAAGTGCTGTAACGGTCTGTGTGTCAGGTGAAGTGCTGTAACGGTCCGTGTGTCAGGTGAAGTGTTGTAACGGTCCGTGTGTCAGGTGAAGTGTTGTAACGGTCCGTGTGTCAGGTGAAGTGCTGTAACGGTCCGTGTGTCAGGTGAAGTGCTGTAACGGTCCGTGTGTCAGGTGAAGTGCTGTAACGGTCCGTGTGTCAGGTGAAGTGCTGTAACGGTCTGTGTGTCAGGTGAAGTGCTGTAACGGTCTGTGTGTCAGGTGAAGTGTTGTAACGGTCTGTGTGTCAGGTGAAGTGCTGTAACGGTCTGTGTGTCAGGTGAAGTGTTGTAACGGTCTGTGTGTCAGGTGAAGTGCTGTAACAGTCTGTGTATCAGGTGAAGTCCTACTAGACCCCCCAGGTGAAGTGTTGTAACAGTCTGTGTATCAGGTGAAGTGCTGTAACAGTCTGTGTGTCAGGTGAAGTGCTGTAACAGTCTGTGTATCAGGTGAAGTGCTGTAACAGTCTGTGTATCAGGTGAAGTGCTGTAACAGTCTGTGTATCAGGTGAAGTGCTGTAACAGTCTGTGTGTCAGGTGAAGTGTTGTAACAGTCTTTGTGTCAGGTGAAGTGCTGTAACAGTCTGTGTATCAGGTGAAGTGTTGTAACAGTCTGTGTATCAGGTGAAGTGCTGTAACAGTCTGTGTATCAGGTGAAGTGTTGTAACAGTCTGTGTATCAGGTGAAGTGTTGTAACAGTCTGTGTATCAGGTGAAGTGTTGTAACAGTCTGTGTATCAGGTGAAGTGCTGTAACAGTCTGTGTGTCAGGTGAAGTGCTGTAACAGTCTGTGTGTCAGGTGAAGTGCTGTAACAGTCTGTGTGTCAGGTGAAGTGCTGTAACGGTCTGTGTGTCAGGTGAAGTGCTGTAACGGTCCGTGTGTCAGGTGAAGTGTTGTAACGGTCCGTGTGTCAGGTGAAGTGTTGTAACGGTCCGTGTGTCAGGTGAAGTGCTGTAACGGTCCGTGTGTCAGGTGAAGTGCTGTAACGGTCCGTGTGTCAGGTGAAGTGCTGTAACGGTCTGTGTGTCAGGTGAAGTGCTGTAACGGCCTGTGTGTCAGGTGAAGTGCTGTAACGGCCTGTGTGTCAGGTGAAGTGCTGTAACGGTCTGTGTGTCAGGTGAAGTGTTGTAACGGTCTGTGTATCAGGTGAAGTGTTGTAACAGTCTGTGTGTCAGGTGAAGTGCTGTAACGGCCTGTGTGTCAGGTGAAGTGCTGTAACGGCCTGTGTGTCAGGTGAAGTGCTGTAACAGTCTGTGTATCAGGTGAAGTGCTGTAACAGTCTGTGTGTCAGGTGAAGTGCTGTAACAGTCTGTGTATCAGGTGAAGTGCTGTAACGGTCCGTGTGTCAGGTGAAGTGCTGTAACAGTCTGTGTATCAGGTGAAGTGCTGTAACGGTCCGTGTGTCAGGTGAAGTGCTGTAACGGTCTGTGTGTCAGGTGAAGTGCTGTAACGGTCTGTGTGTCAGGTGAAGTGTTGTAACGGTCTGTGTGTCAGGTGAAGTGCTGTAACGGTCTGTGTGTCAGGTGAAGTGTTGTAACGGTCTGTGTGTCAGGTGAAGTGCTGTAACAGTCTGTGTATCAGGTGAAGTCCTACTAGACCCCCAGGTGAAGTGTTGTAACAGTCTGTGTATCAGGTGAAGTGCTGTAACAGTCTGTGTGTCAGGTGAAGTGCTGTAACAGTCTGTGTATCAGGTGAAGTGCTGTAACAGTCTGTGTATCAGGTGAAGTGCTGTAACAGTCTGTGTATCAGGTGAAGTGCTGTAACAGTCTGTGTGTCAGGTGAAGTGTTGTAACAGTCTTTGTGTCAGGTGAAGTGCTGTAACAGTCTGTGTATCAGGTGAAGTGTTGTAACAGTCTGTGTATCAGGTGAAGTGCTGTAACAGTCTGTGTATCAGGTGAAGTGTTGTAACAGTCTGTGTATCAGGTGAAGTGTTGTAACAGTCTGTGTATCAGGTGAAGTGTTGTAACAGTCTGTGTATCAGGTGAAGTGCTGTAACAGTCTGTGTGTCAGGTGAAGTGCTGTAACAGTCTGTGTGTCAGGTGAAGTGCTGTAACAGTCTGTGTGTCAGGTGAAGTGCTGTAACGGTCTGTGTGTCAGGTGAAGTGCTGTAACGGTCCGTGTGTCAGGTGAAGTGTTGTAACGGTCCGTGTGTCAGGTGAAGTGTTGTAACGGTCCGTGTGTCAGGTGAAGTGCTGTAACGGTCCGTGTGTCAGGTGAAGTGCTGTAACGGTCCGTGTGTCAGGTGAAGTGCTGTAACGGTCTGTGTGTCAGGTGAAGTGCTGTAACGGCCTGTGTGTCAGGTGAAGTGCTGTAACGGCCTGTGTGTCAGGTGAAGTGCTGTAACGGTCTGTGTGTCAGGTGAAGTGTTGTAACGGTCTGTGTATCAGGTGAAGTGTTGTAACAGTCTGTGTGTCAGGTGAAGTGCTGTAACGGCCTGTGTGTCAGGTGAAGTGCTGTAACGGCCTGTGTGTCAGGTGAAGTGTTGTAACAGTCTGTGTGTCAGGTGAAGTGCTGTAACAGTCTGTGTGTCAGGTGAAGTGTTGTAACAGTCTGTGTATCAGGTGAAGTGTTGTAACAGTCTGTGTGTCAGGTGAAGTGCTGTAACAGTCTGTGTGTCAGGTGAAGTGCTGTAACAGTCTGTGTGTCAGGTGAGGTGTTGTAACAGTCTGTGTATCAGGTGAAGTGTTGTAACAGTCTGTGTGTCAGGTGAAGTGCTGTAACAGTCTGTGTGTCAGGTGAAGTGTTGTAACAGTCTGTGTATCAGGTGAAGTGCTGTAACAGTCTGTGTGTCAGGTGAAGTGCTGTAACAGTCTGTGTATCAGGTGAAGTGCTGTAACAGTCTGTGTGTCAGGTGAAGTGCTGTAACAGTCTGTGTATCAGGTGAAGTGCTGTAACAGTCTGTGTATCAGGTGAAGTGCTGTAACAGTCTGTGTATCAGGTGAAGTGCTGTAACAGTCTGTGTATCAGGTGAAGTGTTGTAACAGTCTGTGTATCAGGTGAAGTGTTGTAACAGTCTGTGTGTTTTTTAACCTTCAGATTGTGGCATCAGTTGACTCTGAAGCTGACAGACTTCGTTAAGGACCCCTGCTTCAAAACAGGAGATGGACTCATACAGGTAACATCAGTCACACCTGTTCACACCTATTCACATCTGTTCACATCTGTTCACACCTTTTCACATCTGTTCACGCCTGGTTACATCTGTTCACACCTGTTCACACCTTTTCACATCTGTTCACGTCTGTTCACGTCTGTTCACACCTTTTCACATCTGTTCACGCCTGGTTACATCTGTTCACACCTGTTCACACCTTTTCACATCTGTTCACGCCTGGTTACATCTGTTCACACCTGTTCACGTCTGTTCACACCTGTTCACACCTGGTTACACCTCTTCACACCTGTTCACATCTGTTCACACCTGGTTACGTCTGTTCACACCAAATAGAATATAATGTCTCGCACACACCTGCCGAACACACACACACACTCTTGCCTCGTTCTCTCTCTCTCCTCACTCGCTCCCCCCACCCACACACATGCGCACTGAGCCATTCAGAGACAGACATACCCTGCTCGTATAACAGTGGTTATTTGTCTAAAATTTAAAAGCCATAAATCCTCCAGGGGGCCTCGTTTGTGTACCATTCAGAAACGTCCCCCATCCTCTTCTGCACCTCACTGTCCTCGTCATCGGCTGTCTCTGCTCTCGCTGCCCCTACTAACGGGTCAAAACGATACGGATCTGGAAGTCTGTGGTCGTACTCTATTTGAGAGTCTACAGGAGACTCTGGAGGAGAGAAGTCTTCCACTTCAAATGACATTTCCTTGGCACACGTGCCATTGCTGCTTATGGAGTCGTCGCTCATGGCTAAATAACCTAGCTAAAGTGTGTGTGGGGCAAACATTGTATCATGTTGCGGCTGATAACGGCGCGAAGGAGTGAGTGGGCGAGTTTATGGGGGTAAATATGGGGTTTAGTTACCCTTTAAAGTGCCAAAGCTTCTACTTACTTTTATCTGATGTACAAATATCTTATATTAGTTTTTCACTATAATCTAGCAGGGTGCTGCAGGGGTCAGTGCTGTTGCCATGACACTTAATAACCTTTGTGTGTTTGTGTTTCTCTCCCAGCTGTACGATAATTTCCTCAGCGACTTCGAACACAGGTGAGAGAAACGTGGCTCCCATCTAACACCTGGTTATTCACCGCTTCCTCTTTCTTTACATTTAAAAAAAATATTTCCTTTCTTTCTTTGCTTTGTCATCAGAATCAACCCGTTATCCCTGATGGAAATTATACTGCATGTTGCCCAACAGATGAAAGGTAAGAATGGCGTGACGCTTTCCTCTGCTCGATCTAGATTGTCATGTTGTTGTTTTTTTGTGCCTATAAAAATTGTTTCTGTATGCAGATCCTAAAGATGCCATCACTTTTCTGGAGAAGACCAAAGACAAGGTAAACTTAAAGAAACCATCATCATAGATTTATTGTGCAGACATTTAACTGAAACTGGTCGAATAAGGTGGCCATCTTTGATTGGCCATCATGTCTCTTAAAGGAGATCTATTATCCTCACTGTCAGCATTGAGGATGTCAGTCTGGGACCTGTTGAGTAGCGTTAAGAGATGTGTAGCTCAAAAACTATTCATGTATCAGATACTGGCGTCAGTAAGATCCCTCATTTCATTCTCCGCCTGAAACGCTTCATTTCAGTTACTGTCTCTTTAAGGCCCGCCCACCGCCACTCTGTAGAAGGAAAAGGATGTGAGCATGTGCTGGTAACATCTACTAGCCTGATATGTATCATGCAGCGGGTTTAGTGTTTGCAGAGTTGTGTGCACTATGTTAATCAAAAGGTTGTCGTCTGAACGCGACCCCGTTGTCAGAGTGTCGTGTAAACGGCGCCTAACTGTAACGTGTCTTTGTCTGTTTCAGGTCAAAAGCAGCGATGAAGCCGCCAGTCTCTGTAAGACGTCCATCGGCAAACTCAAACTGGAGATCAACGATCTTCCTGCAACGAAGGTGAAACATCCTGAACTCTTGAGTTCTTTTTATGCTGCCGACGCTAAACAAGCCGCACGCCTGGTGACCATGGTAACGTGGTCACCCGGCGTGACGTTGACAAAGGACGGAGAAACAGAGAGCACAAAAACATTTCATTACTCTGTCTTTGCCAATCTTATTTATGTAGTTCAGACGTTGTGCGGGAGTTTGTCTGCAAATGTAAAATAATAATGACCCGACGCCGTTGGCCTCTAGAGAGTCGAGATGTCACGACTATGCACGCAAATTCAACCAATCGCTGCTAATTCTGAATTCTACATTTTCGATAAATAGAAACAAATAAAGACTTTAGAAAAATGTAACTTTCTCTGAACAAGCTGATTTGGCGTGTCTTTTTTTAAAACCGCTGATTCCATCGGTTCATAAACGGCGCTCTGAACACAAAGTGACGACAGCTCAGCGGGAAAACGATACGACGAGCTGTAAAGAAGCTCTCTTTCTCCTCTCTCTCTCTCTCTCAGAAACTCATCGAAGAGGTGGAGGAGATGTTGAATAACCTGCCCGGCGTCACGTCTGTGCACGGTCGCTTCTACGACCTGTCCAGCAAATATTACCGCATCATCGGGAACCACGCCTCCTACTACAAGGACGCCCTGCGCTACCTGGGGTGTGTGGACATCAAAGACCTTCCAGGTGAGCAGAGGCATGATGGGAGAAAGTTCTCTGTGTTAGGTCAGAGCATCCGTCATGTGATCACCTGTTTGAAATGTTTCATCCTCAGAGACAGAGAAGCAGGAGAGGGCGTTCACGCTCGGCCTGGCCGGACTCTTAGGAGAAGGCGTTTATAACTTTGGAGAGCTGGTGAGATTTCAAATCCGCTCTGTGCTCGCCGTCCTGTTGTTTGTCAGGGCTGTTGTTGATGACTCCGTGTGTGTGTGTGTGTGTGCGTGTGTAGCTGATGCATCCTGTGCTGGAGTCTCTGAGGAACACGGACAAACAGTGGCTCATCGACACACTATACGCCTTCAACGGAGGAAACGTGGAGAAGTTCCAGGGCTTCAAGTCGGCCTGGGGCCAACAGGTGAGAACAGGCCGTATAATCAGGGTCCCTCACGGACGGCAATATGTCTTATAAAGTCTTGTTTTTATGAGAAAGGTTTGAAATGTCAGATTTATTAGATCTATGTTTGTCCAGGAAGAAGATATTTGGCTCCGCCTTTTTTTGTGCGGCTGCTTCGAGTGGAAACTCTTTCTACTTTTCCAAAAGACATTATTGACATCACTGCCGCTCTTTTCGAAGTATAAGATATTCCTCGTCTTTTTGTTCTTTACGGATCGTTCCCTGTGCCTACATCACCCTCGCTCCGTGTTCAGACAGAGTAGGATGGCGAGCATCCTTCATTTCTAAAACGACGTAGCAGTGTCGTCATACAGGAAACGCTTCTGCCTGAGAAAGAGGACAGGTGGAGGCGGGGCCATGACTCTGCGATTATGTGGTACCTTCACACTCGATCAGTAGTCTGATGTGTTTCTCTGTCCCGGTTGCAGCCTGACCTCGCAGCACATGAGGCCAAACTGATGCAGAAGATCCAGCTGCTCTGTGTGATGGAGGTGAGACCCTAAAAACACCTTTTCTACACTTGGACCTGACGGCGAGTTCACCATGAAGGTTAAAAAAACAAAACAT